TTATACAGAGTGTGACAATTAGGAATATATATAAAGAAAGTGGTGAGTCCTATACATTTGGACGCTCTTAAATTTTATAACTCACGTGATTATATTGGAGAGAGTATGCAAATTTATTCTCTTTGTTTTTTTTCTTTTTTAATCCTTATGACCTGATACTAAATGTGAATATTTATTTTGATAAAAATTTGGGTCTTGATTCATCACATTATAATAGATCAGCCTGTTTTTACTAACTCATTTTCTGTTTAATTTGTTATTACTTTTAAAATTTTAAAATAACATTAATTACAATTATTCCAATTTATCCTTTAAATTGGACATCTTCTAGAAGAAATAGGTGGTTTTAAAAATATCTTACAAAAAGACATTTTTATTTAACACACAACCAACAAGAGAAACGGTTGGATAATTGAAAAGGTATAAGATTTATGTACTTAGCTTTATATACTTAAAATATTTGTATTCAATCAAATCATAATAAGTGAATCTTCATATGTTAACAAAATTAATAACAAAACTTTATTATGGAATAACTAATATGTAAAAAATCTGCATGTTTTGATTTAATTGAAAGCAATCATATTAAATATATATATATATATATATATAAAAGGCTAAGTATGCAAGTTTTTCTAGTTGAAATTCTAATTTTCCCGTAATTTTGGCTATTTCCAGTTGTTAATTTTTTGTTTTTAATGGAAGGTGGGTAATTTTGACGTGCTACTAGGATATTTTAGGTAAAAAGACATTAATTGCGCTTAGAATTTCATAAAACGCCTTATAATACTCTGTTGACATATTCCAAAACACACTTTATATTTGAAAAGGAAATAGTACCTAATCACTCGGCGGAGAATTACTTATGTTTTTTTTTTAATGATAGATATATACTTTAGGAGTACATTTAATTATGAGAAAGAATTTAATATGCTTTCAAGTAGGGGCAAATTTGAAGTTTTTCTCCTTTACGGATAAAATTAATGACCTAATTATTTCTCTCTAACTTTAATGAGGTAGTTAAATATGACTTTCAATTACTAAAATATTCTACTGCATTAATTATATTTCTTCACCGGCATTCTAAAACATTAGATGGGATAAAAAGAAATGAAGTATAAAAATTAAATGAGATTCATAGGTATAATGATAAATGATAGAAATTAAATATTGCATAGATACCAACATGGTTAGGTCTAGTAGAAGAGACTAATTCCTCACAATTAATGTGATGAATTAAAATTTAAATCTTTATTAAATGAGATGTTTATATTATTTAATATACCACCGTACTTTAAATATGGTTATTTTCACTAAACATATATATATATATATATATATGCAAACAATAAAATATTATAATGCAAAGACTTACTTAAGACTTGATACGCTGTGGGCCTCTGCTTGGGATCATAACTCAACATTTTGGTGACAAGGCCCTTTGCTGAAGCAGATATGCTTGGCCATGGATCACTTGACAAGTCATATCGGCCTTCCACCATTTTCTTCATTTTACCCCTTTCAGTTTCTGTCATATATTATATAAAATTAAATTCAATAAACGGCGCTGTCCAATCTTTTTATTTCATTTCAAACATTTAAATTTCCTTTTGATTTATTATTATATGTAAAAAGAGTTGTAAAACGAAGCAGATCCTGTGAAAAGTGTATGTTTGTGTGTGTATATAAATAAAATTCTTATACAGCCATCTAATACTTTCTCGTGTCCTAGTTATAAAGCAAAGTTTTAAAAATATATTTAATTTTAACTATATAAGATAAAGATGCCAGTAAATTAATTGTTCAATACTACCTCTGCTTGATTGCACCAAGTATTTGGCAAACTTCAAATTTCTAGACGTACTTTATTGTAGTCAATAATTTTAACGAATGGCAAAATTGAAAAGTGAGATACTTTTTTTCGGGGCAGAAGTAAGATACTTTTTTACGAGTTTAAAAATATTATATATTAAATGTAAAAATATAGGAATCAATATTCAAGATGTTAAAACTTTAAAAACTAAATTATAACAAGTTAAAATTGAGGGACTTATGAGTTACAATTGAGTCAAACTTGCAAAAACTAAATGATTAATTTTTTTTCATTTCTATTATAAAAAAATGAGGTTAGTGTCTCCATGGGCATATCTGTAATGATAGATTTAGATTTAAATTTTAGATTTAAAATCTTATATATAAATTTATGTATTTAAAATTTTTTGTTTAGATAATATAAAAAAGGGTTAACATGTAATTTAAATTTTGAATTAAAGGTTTAGGGGTAATTTAAACCTTAAACTTTTAAAATATATATTTTGAACTTTAACAATTAAAATTAGGATAAAATTGTTAAATTTTCACAAACACTCGTTAATTTTTTAAAAATTGAGACATAATGTGTGATTTTTATCAAATTTTGCTTTTCTTCTCTCTCATGCCCTCATTCAGTGAAGATAACATATTAAGCCCTATTTTAATGAACATTTATTTAAATTTAATGATAAGGGTGAAATTATTTCAACTTTAATTGTTTAGAGTTTAAGATATACATTTTAAAAGTTTATGATTTAAATCATCCATAAACCTATATAGTTTAGGGTTTCAATTACATATTAACCCTATAAAAAAAAATTTCAAAAGAAGAATGGAGATAAATTGAGATTCAAAATAAATACAAAAGATTAGAATTAACAAGCTCACCTCCATCATTTAATTGGTGAGAAGAAATGAGAATAATAGAGGTAATGATGATAAAAACGTTAAAAAAGAGAGAGAGAGAGAATGGTTGAAATTTTAAATAACTTGTGAGAGAAAATTTGAAATAATAAAAAATATGATAAAATATAAATTTGGGTCGAATTTAGCTACTCAACTTTTATGTATTTAAATAAAATTTTTTGATCAAAATCAAAATTTAAATCCAAATTTTCGTTAATCCAAAGGCAACAAAATGTATTGCATTTTGGATCATCTATATTATAAAATGAATTTAGATGGTATATTAAAAATTAAATTCAAATGAAAAAAATATATGCTATAGAATAATTTTTGAAAAAAATTACCTATAAATATTGAATATGAAAAGTTCAAAGTAACGATTGAATCGTCATACAGTTAATTGCCCCTTGTTGGTCCTCAAAAGTTAAAGCCTATTCTTCGCCGACAATTCCAGTGTGCAACCTCTTTTCGACCAAACATACAAAAATATGGCTCATGTTTAAATTTATTAAATTAGTGTAATCTTCTCTCTCTACACACACACACACACACACACACACACACACACAAAGGTAGTTACGAAGAACAAGTAATAAGGTAAGTAGTGTTGGGAGTAGTGATTCAATATGAACCCTAAGTGGTGCCTAAAAATTGGTTTGTGTGTGTCAAAAGTCTCACATTACCTGAATGAAAAACTTTCCTATTATATAAATACTAAGGAATGAAATGAGTTAGTAAAATAGGTTTGAAAGAGAAGTGGTTGGCGTGCATGAAACAAGCTAACTCAAGGCAATTGCAGTTGAAATCAATCGATTTGCCCCTTGCGTGCGAGTTTAGAAGGCACTAGGCTCCTTTTACCAGATTGTTTTTACAAAATAAATAAATAAATAATTATTTTAGGCTTATCCGAAAAGAATTTGAAGCCTTGGCAATTTTTGGGTATTAAACTACTTTTAAAAACTGATTTTGTGAGTTAATTTCTTAAACTCTCTTGTTTGTCAATGGCTCCAAATTAATGGTGTTTTATATGTATGTAACTGAAGCCTTAATCTGGTGATTATGAGCCAAAGTTCATGTCTCCATCTTTGGCCTATATATAACCATGGGTGCGGATAGATCAACTCACCAACCTCTTAAGCTTTCGGGGCAATTCTTTCCTCCCTCCAGCTTTTGCTGTGTTGTTCATCTGAGTTTATTTTTAGTTCTGCTGTTCTGGTTCCTTGTTCCTGTAGGAAATGCTTGTTTAATCTTGAAAAACGATTGATCTGTCATCCCAGTGTGTCAAAATAGTTCTTAAGGATAATGTCTTTTTGAGCAGGACCTAAGAAGCTTGTGATTTACATCAATATCGTGAACAGAAATATTGTCCTTTAGAGCTCACATCACTTAAAAGCCATAGCTGCTCACTTCCCGTTTAAGCTTATCTATGATATAATCTAAGATTACTCCTTAATATTTATACATTAGGAGTTCTTTTTACTTAGACACAGTAGTGCTTTTTCAGAAAACATCAATCAAGGATCACTGGTAAAAATTTATATCAATCAAGGATAATTTGTTTTGAAATTCAAATGAATATTTGTTGATGTTAATTTGTTTTTTTTATTAACAAGTATTCATTTAAATTTTAACAATAATTTATTCTAAATTAACAATAGTCTATTTAAACTTATTTTTCATTCGAGTTTTGATAACAACTGATCCTTAATTGATATATATTTTTTTCAGTAGTCTTTAGTTGCTATTTTTCCTAGTTTTTTTCAATGCAAAACTAAACAAGCCTGTAAAGAAAGAAAGAAAAAAAAAAAGCTGAGAGATGTGACAAATTATTATCTTTAAAGATTACCAGCAACTAATAGTGCGATCATGTACAACAAATTAAACACTTTTGGAACTATCTCATGTTTCTTTTTGAAAATTAACTTAGCCCTGTTTTCTTTTGATTCCAGAGAACCTTCAAAAGTTTACTTATTGTTTTAATCATGTTGACAGTGAAAAGTTTGAATCAATGCCTTTTCATTAACTTTACTAAACTATCATATGAATAGACGCCTTCTTGGATAGTTGCATCCAAATTCAATAGATATGCCAGTACATCACTTTCCAATATAGTTGGCAGCTATTTTATTTCAATTCTAATCAAATTAACGACAAGTTTTCTCTAATTGTGTTAATCTACTATTAAATTTCAATAGCCAGTCAAGGCTAATCATTTCACGTTAAACAAACATGCCTGTTTAAAAGTCTACTAATATAATAGAAAAAAATTATTTAACTGTATATCAGTTAAATGAGAGACGATGAATCTCGCCAATATTACAATCTACTCCAATATGGAAGAACTTATATGCTCTTAACAGCTTGAACCTATTCATCACAATATTGTCAAGAGGTTTATCTGCTGCTTCTCCATCTTCCTTTATCCATGGATGATCTGTTTTAGTTTCAGAATTATACAGAAGATTAATACACACACATATATGTTCTCTTTAAAATTATACAGAGTGTGACAATTAGGAATATATATAAACATAGTGGTGAGTCCCATACATTTGGACGCTCTTAGATTCTATAACTCACGTGATTATAGTGAAGAGAGTATGTGAATTTATTCTCTTTGTTTTTTTTGTTTTTTTAATTATTATGATCAGGTACTAAATGTGTATATTTCTTTTGATGAAAATTTGTGTCTTGATTCACCACGTTATAAGAGATCAACCTTTTTTGACTAACTCAATTTCTGTTTAATTTGTTATTACTTTTAAAATTTTTAAAATAACATTAATTACAATTATTCTAATTTACCCCTCTCATCCTTTAAATTGGACGACATCTTTTAGAAAAAATAGATGGTTCTAAAAATATTTTATAATAAGACAGTTTTATTTAATACATCACCAACAAGAGGAATAGTTAGATAGTTGAAAGGGTATAAGACTCATGTATGTACCCTTATATATTTAAAATATTTATATTCAATTAAATTATGACAAGTGAATTTTTATATATTAATAAAATTAATCACGGAACTTGATTATAGAATAACTAATGTGTAAAAGATTTGCATTTCTTAATGTAATTGAAAGAAATCACACTAAATATATAAAGTTAAGTATATAAGTTTTTTTCAAGTTGAAATTCTAATTTTCCCCTAATTTTGCTTATTTCCAGTTGTTAATTATTTGCTTTTAATGGAAGACAGGTAGCTAGGATATTTTAGGTAAAAAGACATTAATTGTGCTTACAATTTCATAAAATGCCTTATAATGCCCTGTCGACATATTCCAAACTATACTTTATATTTGAAAAGGAAATGGTACCTACTCACTCGGTGGAGAATTAATTATTTTTTTTAATGATAGATACTTGAGGAGTACATTTAATTATGAGAAAGAATTTATTTTTTAATACTATATGCTTTCAAGGGGCAAGTTTGAAGTTTTTCTCCTTTACAGAAAATTTAATGACCTAATTATTTCTCTCTAACTTTAATGAGGTAGTTAAATATGACTTTCAATTACTAAAATATTCTAATGTATTAATTATATTTCTTCACCGGTATTCTAAAACATTAGATGGCATAAAAAGAAATGAAGTATAAAAATTAAATGAGATTCATAGGTATAATGATAAATGATAGAAATTAAATATTGCATAGATACCAATGTGGCTAGATTTAACGGAAGAGACTTACCCTTCACAATTAATGCAATGAATCAAATTTTAAATTCTTATTAAATGAGATGCTTATATTACACGACCATACTTTAAACATGATTATTTTCACTAATATATGTATGTATGTATGTATGTATATGGGTGGGCAAGCAATAAAATATTAGAAAAATTAATCTTTTAATCCTTCAACTTTTAACTCACTTGTAACTCAATCTCTCAATTATGACTCGTTGCGATTCAGTTCCTCAATTATAACTCATTGCAATTCAGACCTTCAACTTTTGATTCACTTATAACTCGATCCTTATTTTTTAATTTTTTTAAAATTTTTTATCAAATAAGAGAAATAAAAAATGCTCATATATTATTTTAAAATATCCTCCTCTTACTCATTGAAGTGAGATATAAACTAATATGAAAAAAAATTAACAAAAGTTAAGGGACTAATTTGTAAGTGCTTTAAAAGTTGAGGGATTGAGTCATAGGCGAGTCATAGTTGAGGGACTGAGTCACAGCGAGTCATAGTTAAAGGATTGAGTTACAAGTTACTTAAAAATTAAAGAATTAAAAGATTAATTTTTTTTTAAAATATTATAATGCAAAGACTTACTTAGGACTTGATACGCTGTGGGCCTCTGCTTGGGATCAAAACTCAACATTTTGGTGACAAGGCCCTTTGCTGAAGCAGATATGCTTGGCCATGGATCACTTGACAAGTCATATTGGCCTTCCACCATTTTCTTCATTTTTCCCCTTTCAGTTTCTGTCATGTATTATATAAAATTAAAGTTCAATAAATGGCGCTGTCCAATCTTTTTATTTAATTTCAAACATTTAAATTTCGTTTTGATTTATTATTATATGTAAAAAGAGTTGTAAAACGAAGCAGATCCTGTGAAAAGTGTGTGTGTAAATAAAATTCTTATACAACCATCTAATACTTTCTCGTGTCCTACTTATAAAGCAAAGTTTTAAAAAAATATATTTAATTTTAAATATATAGGATAAAGATGTAGTAGTAAAGTAATTGTTCAATACTACCCCTGCTTAATTGCACCAAGTATTTGGCAAACTTCAAATTTTCAGACGTACTTTATTGTAGCCAATAATTTTAACGAATGGCAAAATTGAAAAGTAAGATACTTTTGTTTTTCGTTGAAGTAAGATACTTTTTTACAAGTTTAAAAATATTATATATTAAATGTAAAATTAGTTTTACCATTTCGAGACTGTTTGTTTGGGGGAGAGGGAAGGAAAGGGGAGGGATTTTGCCCCCTCTCCTTGTTTGGCTTGAAACTTTTGGTGAAAATTTTTTAAAATCTCCCCTCCCCTCCAAGTTGGGAGGATTGGGAGGGAAGGAGTAAAATTTTTCATACCCTGATCAATATTTTTTTGTGATAAGTTCAAAAAATATAGATATACTTTTTCAATATATTAGCACAAATAAATTGAGGATAAAATTATTTATATATAATTATTTTTCCTTTCCTTCTCTTTTGAACCAAATAAGGTAACATCAAACCCTTTCCCTCCCCTCCATTAAAACTCGTTCCCTTAAACCAAACATATCCTAACCCTATTATTATGAGGTTGGAGGAATATTTGATAGTTATTGGCTCCAACTAGGATCAACTCTTGCAACATATAATTTTTGAAGGGAGGATTTTCTCCTCTTCCTTCCCATTCTTTTCCCTTCTTTTCCCTTTTAATCATTGGATTAAGATTTATATGATTCAAATTTGATCTCCTATAAAATTGTTATTAAAATATTAAATTATAAAAAATATAAATAGTAAAATTCAAATTACTAAATTTTAATGTTTACAATTAAAAAAATACAGTAAAAAAAACAAAACAAAATATTTTACATGAGATCAAATTTGGATTGTCTGATAATCTTGATCTAATAGTTAGAAATTAGAAATTGAATGAGAAGAGGATGGGAAAGAAGAGGAGATAATTCTCTCCCAATTTTTCTAACTACTTACAGAGTTTGAAACCTCTTGATCTTAATATCTTTAGGAAAAACAATAATGATTTTTCTTCACTTGATGAGGGCATAACTCAACTACTATTGATCAAAACAAAATCTATTAGAGAGATGAAGTCCCACTTGAACTATTAACTATTTTGATAAAGTAGCTTGTCCTTAAACATACTAAATATCAAAAAATTAAACAAAATCTAGTTCAACTGTAAAGATTATATTGGAGAGAAATCAAACTATATATACACACAATGAGAGCTAACGTAAAATTGGGGATCTCACGTGAATATAAGCAACACACAACACACACACACACACACACACACACACACACACAAACCTGGCCAAAATGGAGGAACACCGTAAAGAAGAGTGTAAAGCGCAGCCCCAGCACTCCAAATGTCAATTTCTGGGCCGTATTTCTTCTTCAACACCTCGGGTGCCACGTAACTTGGACTCCCAGTGACCAAGTCAAACATCTCTCCTAATTATAATCAAATTACAATTACGGTTTGTTAATGCACATACATACATGCATGTGTGTGTGTCTGTGTTTTGAAGGAGATCGTGCATGAAATTCACCTTGCCTGTGAAAAGAAGATAGATTGAAATCAACGAGTTTGAGGGGAGAATTCTCGTCGTTATTAAGAAACATGAAATTCTCAAGTTTAATATCTCTATGCATGACGCCCATGGTGTGACAACTATGGATGGCTTGAATCATGTTCCTCAACAGCGACGCCGCGGCTCGCTCGGTGTGATAACCCTTGGCAATGATCCGGTCGAGGATCTCGCCACCGGCACAGAGCTCCTTCACAACACGAACCGAATCACCGTCCTCGTACAAACCTTTCAGTTGTACAATATTAGGCTGGCCGGCCAAATGGTGCATGATTTGTACGCTCCTAAGTACATCATCTGTGTCATTTTTCCTAAGCTTCATCTTGACTATGGTTTTGCATGCAAACAGTTCGCCGGTTACCTTGTGTGCACACAAATACGTCGGCCCGGTTCTGCCTCGCCCTATCTCTTTTCCTACGGTATGAGTCGTCGTTAGAACCTCCATGGGTTCGGCAAAGATCTCGTCATCGGAGCCGGCCTCAGCATGGCTGCCATTGGTGGTGGTGGTGTTGGTGGAGCAAGTGTTGCTCATCATGATGTGGATGGGGTAATTTTGATGTGCATCAACGAGACGATGACAGAGAGATTGAGAGGGATGTGTGTGTGTGTGTATTTAATTATATAAGATGGAATACAAAAATAATCGAGGGAAAATAATTGACGTGTGTAAATTGGAGGGTTACGAGGGAGAAAATTTAAAGGGATAGGTTCTTTATTTAGTTGATTATTATTTATTTTTTGAATTATTATTACGGCAGAGAATAATATAATGTGGATGGAATCAAATGGAGAAACATATGGGATTGAACGAGTATTAGGGATCGGACGATCTGTCTGGTTGCTAAGAAAGGAATAGGTTGAATTCCCAACTCGTTTGCTTCGGTTACGTAATTATATAATAATGCAATGAAATGCTAATAAACTAGTTATAAATTCTAACATTTTAATTTTAATGAGCAATGGACTTAATTAATATTCTTTTATATTACAATTTTAAAATTAAAAACTTATTTAAATGTCAGCAATTGTTATTAATATTAATACCATCATTAATATTCAATACCAAAAATTTTTTAGGAACAAATGTGTAATTTTATAACTAAAATTTTCATTTTCATTAAAATATATTTATTTATCATTTTCTTTTCACAAAATTTTAATTTATGCTTTTCATTATGAGAAGAGATGCTCAAATTTAATATCTAACTATGTTTTGAATAGGATTATCTCCAATAATATATATATATATATATAGGCAATAAAAAAATTATATTTATGCTCTACATATACTTTAATAGTCATTTTGTAAAGAAACAAGGTCAATTTTCCCATAATTTATCTTTAAATTCCATACTATTAGATGTTTTACAAAATGAAATTCAATACTATAATAATATAAATGCAGCCTACAATTTATATGAGGTCCTAAGCTATTGCTTTAATGGCTGCTTAAAGCTAGCCACGACCCTCTAGCAACCAACATATCATGATATTCACAAGCTCTCTTGCTTTCACCTATATACAATTGAACCTCTCCTCCGACATGAAAACCAGCCAAAGAGCTGAAAAGTTAGGCTAGATGATCATCATCAATAACGTTGATGCCTCTTTTTTTTTTTTTTTTGAGTAAAAGGGAAGATGTATTAATAATCAAAAGGAACTGTACAAGGGAAACAAAAGAAATCAAAATTACATCATGATTAACAGTAGCTCTGATATGAGAGAGCACAGTGTCAACATCAAAATTCTCATCAGTGAAAATACGCCGATTACAAATATCCCAGAGCTTCCAACAGACAATGCTGATTCCTATCTTCCATGACTTATGGAGAGCAGGATTGTGCAAGCAATCAATGAGCCATGAGTCAGTTTCCTTACCATGAAATTCAAAGCACATATCAGAGGGTAAAATCTTCTGCCCGACTGATGCGGAAAAAGGGCAGTCTCTAATGGTGATGCCTTTTAATTTGGGAGAATCGCGGTTAAACCTCCTAGATGTAGAAAAATTGCTCAACAAGCCTAATGCAATCTGATAATGCTTATCATGGGCTTGAAGGACGCGAGTTGTAATGACCTTTGTCATTAACCAACACCAATTCCACTTATCAATCAACCTTTCCACTTAAGGATCAAACATGGCCAAAGATAAATAACACAAACCTTCAAAATTATTTTTAAAGAAATGGGATCCCCAAAATTAATTGAAAATGGGATAATACTCGAGTATACCCAAAAAAAAAAAATAAAAGTAAAAAAAACACTGCATAAAAACATCCACCGCGGCTAAAGCATCTTCGTTGCGACCAATCCTCAAAGGAGCAGTCCATTGTGGCTAAGGCTTTCATCACCACGACTTATGGTGCAAAGACTATCTGTGGCAACCAACAACCTCCTTCGCTGCAGCCAGCCACAAGTGATGCATCCGTTGCGGCTAAGAACACCTCCGCCATGGTGGAATCCGTTCAACAAGACAGAAATATGCAGTACTAAATCTTAACTTCTAAAGCACCTAATTAACCACTTAGACCTTTGATTAGGATGATCCAAATGTTCACACATAAATAATTAAGAAAATTAACTACCAGCTCTACTTGTATGCCAATTTGGTGCTAAACGAGAATCTTAAAACACTTAATGCTAAAAAAAACATTATGCTTCTTGCACATTAGCAAGTGTCTTCCCTCTATAACCATTACCAAACAAACATCTACAAACATGGCAACCATTCATGTATACAAACATCACCTTATGATATTGAGTATTTCAAAATATGGATAAATCATTAATCATAACATCCACACATTTGCATGTCGGCCTCTTTCTCAAAAACGAGGCCACCCAACCAAAATGCTCAAGTCTCACAAATCAAGGCTCCCATGCAAATGAACCATAATTAACCATACACAAATATCCTATATGTTGGAAAAACATATATCCCATTACACACAAAATCAAGTACTAGAGAATATATAATAATGGCTCTAGTGCCTGGCCTCAAAGGCTTCTCCTTTGCCTTTCACCTTATAGTTTTTCTAGAAAGGTATAAGTAATGAGAGTGAGATTAAACAATACTAGTAACCAAAAAATGTAATTAAAACATATTAAAGAGTAGCAATTACAATCAATTAGGAACTTTAGGTCACAATAGGCAAATCATGTATTAATTATAGTTAACCATAAAGCCAAAAGTCACATTATCAATGCAATCATTTTATATTCCTCCTTATATCTTCTAATTGAACCCATAGGTTATTAACTTGTATAGGTCTAATCCATGTCACTGGAATAGCCCCGCTCTCCAATTATGAGGGGTCACCCAGCCAGTAGCTCTACTCATTATAAGACCATGAGTTCCCCTTATTCAAATTTTAGGATATCATCAGTGCTTGAACCATACCATCCCCTCCAGAGACCAATGACACCGAGCATTATACTCAACTTATGCCAAACCTATAGGTTATTGGCACTACTAGAAAAATAGAATTTAGCAAATCCCTCGCTAAATGCCATTTTTGCTGGCTAAATTGCGTTTTAGAGAGTGATTTTGTCCCTCACTAAATTTGTAACTAAGAAAAGGCTCGCTAAATTTAGCGAGGGATTGTATTTTCTTTGCTAATTAACGAGGGATTCAATCCCTTGCTAATACTATTCAAAATTTGATAATTCAGCGAGGGGTTAATCTCTCGCTAAATATGCTTATATTTAAAAATAATGATGTCACATCACCTGCCATATGTGTGTTAATTTGTAACATTTTACCAACAACCTAGTGCCTCATCAACCACCATGTCACCTACCATCTCATGCTCCATTACCTGCCACATGTGCGACAACTCATAACATGTCACTGTCCACCTTGCGTCATGTCACTTGCTTCCTATCATGTCATATATTTATTATGTTTATGCCAAAGCCAAGACTTGAACCCTTGACCTTATGCCTTCTAAGCCTTATACTCTCTTTTTTGCTAGTTAAACTGAAAGGCACTTACAATCATTATATGAGAAATTGAATATATATTATTTAACTATATAAATATATTAAATAATATATTATAAAAATACACACATATATACATATTAAATTTTATTTTCAATTATTAACATGTTAAAAATATTTATATTTTATTTAAATTATTCTTTATATTATATTTTTAATAAAATATTATTTTATTAATGAAAATCAACTTAAAATAAAGAAAATATTAAATATTAAATAATTTTATTATGAATATTTTAGTTAATTTTTAAATTTAATTTTTACTTTTAAATAAAAATAATTAAATATATAATTAAAAGTCATTGTCAAAAGTTAATTTTTTTTACAACAATTAGCAAGGGATAGAATTCCTTGCTAAATCCCTCACTAATTATTTTATTTTAGAGAGGGATTGGCAATCTCTCACTATTTTCCTCACTAATTCTCTTATTTTATAGAGGGATTAATAGTCCCTTACTATTTTCCTCGCTAATTCTTTTATTTTAGAGAGGGATTGACAATCACTCGCTATTTTCCTTATTAATTCTCTTATTTTAGAGAGGAATTGATAGTTCCTCGCTATTTTTCTCACTAATTTTAACTTAAGTTATGAAATTAACATTCCTCACTAATTTCTCCCCTAATATGGTATTTTAAAAAGAATAGACGATCCCTTGCTAAATTCCTTCACTAACTTGCATTTTTCTAATGGTGTGGCAATACTTAAGACATTGAGTAATTAAATATGTCAACCACTGTGCATAATCTCAATGGAGGCCATACTACGTGGATTTATCAATATAGTCCTCTACTTCTTTAGGGTGAACTATCACCCTTTATGATCATGCAAGTTCATTCAATATATGCAAAAACAACTTCTATTATGCATATAATAGTAATTAGGCATTTCATTATTTCAAGAACTTTCAATCTTAACTCAACTCATACAAGCGCATAATCCATAATGTCTCATATTTTCAAGTTCGCATAAATATTACATAGCCAATCCAAGCTCAAATGCATAATCATTCACATCACATGATAGTTATAAATACGTTATTGCCAAATTTCTTCATAATGAGGCATATGTTATAATTCAAACATTAACTTAGAGTCAATAGATTCACTGACAAGTCTCATTGATCTCAAGCCATTGATAACATTGTATAAATTGCAATTGCAGACATTATGATATACTATAATTAAATTTCTGCTTATATGCGCTCTTGGGTTACCACTCTAAGAGTCTAATTTAGATTTCTCGAGGGAGCTTCTTCAAATACAAACTTTGAGTACAATCTGATAGGGGAGGCGAAAGCAGAATCGTATTAGTTTAGGGACAGAACCCTAAAACACAACAAACACAAGAACAAAAAGAAAGGGGCAAAATTTATGATGAAAATAAAGAAAGAAAGGAAATAAATAATGAAATAATGATCAAGGATAAGATCCTTTTGAGCACCTGCATCTAGGAACCTTAACCTTTGAAGACACCATAAGAGTTGATCACACTCTTGATCACATTTGTTTCTCACACGAGATGCCACCCTAAAGTACTAAGGCTTAGAAGAGTTATAAACTTTAAAATGAATAATTTCATTTAACTTCTCTTTTGTTTACAAGAGGGAGCATGCCTAATTTATATAAGCTTATAGATAAGACTATTTTTCTAAAATTAAACCCTAATTTTCTAATACTAAAAGGAAAAATAATATAAAATAATAAAAAATATTCAGCCACATAATTTAGGAGATGTGATCATAAAATTATGGGATTAAAAAATTTAAAAATTAATAATATAATTAATCCTAATTTTTGACTAAACTCAAAATAGAAACTAAGACTAATTTTACTCCTTAAGAAAGGGAATCAAATCAAAGGATCATTAAAATAGAAAACAATTTAGGAGACAATCAAGGGATCATAAAGAAATTAAAATCACGTTGCTTTTGACTTCTTCATTAGGGTTTCATGCCTTCTTGCTTGCAAAAGACTCAACTTGTAGTCTTTCTTGTGTTGGGCTAAGGTTTACATCTCTTGGGCTTGATTCTTCATAGATTTGGATCTTAAGCACATTATACACGTATAGATGCTCTTCTTTGAGCTTGAGAGGAGTGCCCCAGTGCTCTCTAAGCTCTTGGACTTCTTGCACAAGACTAAATAAGGCTTGCTTCATGACTTTAGTTTGGGCTCTTGTCATTAGACATCCAATATGTTATAAAGGTCTTTAGGCACGTTGGATGGAAAGTATTGGACTCCTTATTCCTTGCTTTGGGCTCCTTTCATGCCACCATGTTCATGATTACCATCCTTAAGCTTCATTGTCATTAACGTCATATCATTCATGCCATGGGGTCCATCACAATCAGTCTGCAATAACAATAATCCCAAAAACAACATTAATAACTAATCATTATTAATTAACCCTTAATCTTGATTAAGGCCTAATCCCCTTACTAGACATGATTAAGCATAACTAGCCCTAAAATTCATTTTTGTTAGTTTATTTAACTCTTATTAAGCTTAAAGAACCCTATAACCACCCTCGTTAACTTAAGTTTAATTATTTAACATTAGAGTTAATTCTAAACTCCTCATTAAACACATTTAAAGCTGCCAACCACCAAGATTATCCATAAGGAACGTAAATAACCTTTAATAAACCTAAAAAAAGTCATAAAAGTGGTTGTGATAAGCTCTAAATTTGGACATCACCTACTTCCAACTACTAAGTCAGAAAAGAGATGCTTGTAAGGTACACTACTAGAAAAATAGAATTTAGCTAAATGCCATTTTTTCTCTCTAAATTTCATTTTAGTGAGGGATATTTTATCCCTCGCTAAATTTGTAGCTAAAAAAGGGTTCGTTAAATTTAGCGAGGGATTTAGTCTCTCACTAAGTTTTAGTTAGGGTCACATCCCTCACTAATATTATTCAAAATTCAATAACTTTAACGAGGGATTAATTCTTCACTAAATATACTTATATTTAAATATGGTTATGCCACACCACCCGCCATGTGTGCATTAATTTGTGACATGTCGCTAACAACCTCATGCCTCATCAATTACCATGTCACCTACCATCTTACACCCCATCATAACATGTCACTGTCTACTTTGCGCCATGTCACTTGCTCCTTACTATGTTACATATTCATTATATTTATCCCAAAGCTAAGACTTGAACCCTTAATCTCTTACCTTTCAAGTTTTATGTTGTCCTTCTTTGCTAAGAGAAACACTTAGATAGACTGGGTGCACCATATCATTTGTGGTTTGTCTAATAAAAACATGACATTTAGGTGACATTAAATATATATTGATTATGATATTAATAATAGTAGAGAGAGAAAAGGTAAGAAATTAAATATGCATTCTGTAATAAAAATAAAATCAATTTAAAAAGTGTCACAATATTTTATTTAGATTACTTGGGATATTTTAATTGGATAGACTATAAATGATGTGATGTACTCGATCTAACTAGTATTTCTCCTTTGCTAGTTGAACTCAAAGACACTCGTAGTTATTATATGAGAAATTAAATATATATTATTTAACTACATAAATATATCAAACAAGATATTATAAAAACACACAAAAATTTTATTTTATTTTCAATTATTAATATGTTAAAAATATTTATATTTTATTTAAATTATTATTTATATTATATTTTTAATAAAATATTATTTTATTAATGAAAATCAACTTAAAATAAAGAAAATATTAAATATTAAATAATTTTATATGAATATTTTAGTTAATTTTTAAATTTAATTTTTATTTTTAAATGAAAATAATTAAATATAAAATTAAAAGTCCTTGCTTAAAGTTAAATTTTTTTTATAGCAATTAGTTAAGGATAGAATCCCTCATTAAATCCTTTGCTAATTATCTTACCTAAGAGAGAGATTGGAAGTCATTCGCTATTTTTTTCGCTAATTATTTTATTTTAGAGAGATATTGATAGTCTTTTGCTATTTTCCTCACTAATTCTCTTATTTTAGAGAGAGATTAATAGTTCCTCGTTAATTTTAAGTCGAGCTATGAAATCAACATCCCTTGTTAATTTTTTTTTCTAATTGTAGTAGAAAAAGGAGAAAAGAGGCTTACCTCATAATTTGAAAGCGTCGAATCACTCCCAGGGACCTCCAAAATAAAACCCTAACATAGCTTTCCTTACTCCTCTCACCCAATCCTTAAAAAATCACCTATCTACATTTATGAACTATAGACTCAAAATTTAAAATTCCATCTTGTCTGCCATGGTGCACAATATCATCTGCTACAACGGATGGCCCAAAATGAGCAGTTTCACTTAAACCCATTAATTTGGGCCTAAATTGGCCCAATGGTTCTCAGCCTTATTTTAAACCTCATACAAGGTTCAATATCCTAAAAGACCATCCAAACTCTATTCTTAACTTCCAATTACCTCAATTAATTAATTTAATTTTTGAATTAAATTTTGGGATGTTACATAACTCATCTGTGATTAATTTTCAAGCTGTTGAAATGACTGAACTACCCTTAGTGATTGAGAAGAAAATATCACATTGAAATGGCCGAAACAAAGTGACAATAGAATGTCTGTGAATAACAAACAAAGTCTACTTAATTACAATGACATGTCTATTTATTCAAGAGTACAGTTGTGGTTTGCACTTGTACTTGACGAATATAAAAAAAAACTTACAAGTTAACCAAAATAAATTAATAAAAGAAGGTTCATGAAAATTACATTTGTATTTCAGGCTAAGGTGTATTTTTAACCCAAACTTATTTTTGAGGATAGCTATGTACTGATAAGTGGGACAAATTTATCCCTGAGTTTTTTTTTGAGGAGTAAAAAACTCCTTCTATTAGTCAACTGTTAGTTTTTTTCATTTTTTTTTTGACGTAACATATGTATGGGACCTAGCACTGGGCAAACGGGTTATGAACCAACCCGTAGGCTAGCTCGTGCGGGTTGATACTTTTGCAGGTTAGGTTGGACTAGCCTGCCAAATAAAACGGGCTGAAAAACCCAACCCAATTCATTTTTTAGTAGGCTAGCCCACCCACGGGCTGGCCTGCAAAAATTTATTAAATTTTTTTAACAATTTAAAATTTATATAATATAAATATATATATTTATTTCACATTTTAAAGCAAATTAACAATTAAAGAATTTGTAAATAAATAAAATAAACATAGAATTTAACCAAAGAAATTTATTTTATTAAATTTTTATTATTAATCATTTTCTTGCCTAGTTGTGTTATTTTTCTCAATGAAAAAAATTTGAACATAAATTCATATTATTTTTCTCAATAAATTTATATTTATGATTTTAATTAATAGATCTTATGAGATTAATAAATAACCCGTTTTAGCTTACTAGTTTTGGCGGGTTGGGCTAACCTAGCCCGTTTTAAAAAAAGTTAATTTGTTCAACCTAATCTATTAAATTTTACAGGTTAAACAGGTTAGCCTGCGAGCTCAACCCATTTTCCCGACTCTAATGGGGCCCACGTATAGTGATAGATAAGATTTTAACAATTTCTTTTGGTGCTAATTTTCACTGAAACTCTTTTGACCGCTAAGCACCCTAAAGTCTTTTTTTTAGGAGTATTGGGCACCCTGAAATCTTATTAAAATAAAATTTAATAAAATTTATCAAAATATTAAATATTTTAGTATTTAATAATTTAAATATTATTATTCATAAATATCCATTTAAAATTTATAAATTATTTTAAAAATATTAACAATTCAAACTAGTTTTTTCACATTTTTATAGATGATTTCTTATTTTTTATATATTGATCTTCAAGCTTCTCTTTGAGATAGTGCCTTGATCGTTTCATCATTTATGCATGTCAAAACTTATCTATATTTTTAATATTGGTTAAGTTCTTTAAATTTTTAGGTTGTTCTCTATAATTTTTTTGGTTAATTAATAATTTTTCTCCAAAATATTGCACTAACCAAATTTAACGCTCTCTGTATGTTGTAGTATTAGGGATAAAATTAGAAACATGACAAATCAAGACCAATAATATGCTAACAAAAATATTTATTTAAAAGATCTCGATTATTCTATTAATCAACCTCTTAACCCCCTCATAAATCCAACCTCTCTTCATTCTCAACATCATGCCCAGCAAGTTAGTTTTCCCTCTCAGTCATTGTCCAGGCATTGTCCCTAAAGTCCAAAGCTTGCAAGAGTATAAAATATTAAAATATTAAAGCACTAGAAAAAATGAAATTAGTGACGAGCAAATCTATCACTAACAAGCAAATTCTGTCACTAATTTTAGCTTTAGTGATAGATTTTCCATCACTAGTTTTTATCACAAATATGACATCACTAATTTAGTGATAGACACGAGTCCGTCACTAATTTAGTGACAAAAAATATCTGTCACTAATTAATAAATATCTATTACTAATTTATTTTATAATTAAAAAATTTTTTGAGGGTCCAAGCATTGTCATGTCACCTCCCCATATCACGTCTCAAGTACACATCAGCTTCACCATCCACCACATCATTGTTACTTGGTTCTCCATGCCACATCATAGCCACGTCAATAATTTATTTTATTTCTGTTTGCTAGTGACATCACTTTGTCTTGAAACCAAGGCCTCCATCTTTTGATCCACACCTTTTGCTAGTTGAATTGCAATGACTTTTTATTCTCAATAAAAATTTAACACACACACTATTTTATTAAACACATATATTTAACTTAATATATTTTTTAATATATTTAATATATTATTGTTTAAATATGTTGATAATATATATTAATTTATATAAATACAAATTAACACGTATAAATATATATATATATTACTATATATTAGTTAACAAATATATTATTTAATATCAATATATATTTTATGAAAATAAATATTTGTTTATATCATTTTATATTATCTATGTTATAATTAAAAGACGTTAGGTTGCTTAATATTATTTAAAAAAGAGTTTAAGGACAAATTAGTACCAAAGAGCATAATCAAATTCTTGCCTATCACTTTGTATAGGACTCACACACATGTCACGTTAGCAAAAAATAAAAAAAATTAATGATTAATTAACAGAAAGGGTTTTTTATTCCTTGAAAAAATAGTTTAAGAATAACATTGTCTCATTTATTAGTACATGATGCCTAAAGTTTTTCAAAAAAAAAAAGGAATAAAAATGCACCTTAACCCTTGTATTTCTAGCGTAGTATTTCTTTTTTAATCATTAAGGATATATAGTAGGGAAAATAACAATAAAATCCTTCTAAAATATATAAATGATAATTTGGTCCCTTAAAATGTCATAATTCCCTTGAAATCCCTGAAACTTTTCTGTCATTAATGAATTTATATAAATTATCAAATTGCTCTTAGTGAAAATAAATGATTAACAACTTTTCTTCTTATATTTGCAATAACACAATAGTCAATCACAACTTTCGCATGTTAAATTCCTTATTTGCTGTTATATTGTTGCAAATATAAAAAGAAAAGTTGCGATATAAGAAGGAAAGTTATGAATCATTTATGTTTAATAAAGACAATTTGGTAATTTATAAAAATTCATTAATGATAAAAAAGTATTTAGGGACTTCAGAAAAATTATGACATTTTGAGAGACTAAATTATTATTTATATATTTTAGAGAGATTTTATTATCATTTTTTTTTATATAGTTTAGTCATTGTAGTTTGAAAATTAATTGCAGATGAGTCTTTCGAGCCTGGAGGGCAATTTTTCTTCTTTTGAGAACCTTAAACGCGACTCTACCCTCTAACTTTTGTTATCATTGATTTCCTTAGTCCTTCCATGTCAAGATCACGAAACAAATGACTTTGGATGTCTCTTCCTAGTTATTGTTGCTTCTAGGGTTCCTTTCCTTACACCGACAGATCTAGAAAAATTATATAGTGGTAAAAGTTTTACTTTAGATTAATATTAAATTTTTTAAAATAATATAATTATAAATATTTATTAAACTACTTTAGAGGTAAAAATATTAAAAGTAAATATAGAAGAACAAAACATAAACATAAAAATTATAATGATGTAAAATAAAATTGTCTTATAGTGTAAATTATATTTTTTATTTCTTTATTAAATAGAATGTACTTACAATACTCCTTTATATAGTAAATAAACAATTAAAAAATGTATTTTCTAAATTATTACTCCCCTCCATTTATTTAAGATTATAACTTATAGATAAATTTGAGTTAAATAATTTTTTAAGGGGGATAAGCGAGACCTTTTTTTTTTTGGGAGTGAACTGGATCTATATATACATATATGTATGTATGTATATGTGTATATGTGTATGTACATATACATACATACATACATACATATATATATATATATATATATATTACTCAAAACCAAAGAGATTACAAATTACAAAGGATAAAAAGAACTAGAAGCTTGGACCTAAAAATTGAAAAAAAAAAAAGGGTTAATGAGCAAAATAAATCCTGAACTTTGTTCGAAAAGTATCTTGGACCCTGAACTCTTAAAATGTGCAAAATAAATTCTAAAATTTTTAATTCGTAGCAAATTAAACCCTACCATTATCTTTTTTTAATGCCATTACAGTTTACCGTTACAGTTCACCGTGGGCCCTAGTTAATTAGCGCTATAAGTCCTAAACTATTGTGAGAGTAGCGTCCTAGATCCTAAACTTTAAAATTTTGAGCAAATCACCCCTATTATTTATGCACAAAACATTGATTATTATATAGATCAAATTGGCCTTAGCGTGGTTCACCATGGTGAATGCATGGGCTACGACCCATAGTTTTGTGAAATGACATTTTTTACCTTGTTTTGCAATATTTTCCAAACGATTGGTATTCCATACTTCCATATATTCAAATGGTGAAAACTTGGGATCCCATTTGAAAAGAAGTTTAAGTATCATAGGATTTTATGAAAGCTAATGATTTTATCAATGAATTTAAAACCCAAAGTAACCAGTTAATTAAAATTCTCTAATATTTAAACTTCTTTAACGAGACTAAATCAGAGTTATAGAGTATACGAAAGCATGAGATACTAATCGTTTGGAAAATATTGCAAAAAAAGGGCAAAAAATGTCATTTCACAAAATTATGGGTCATTCACCACAGCTAATAATGCATTCACCACAGCGAACCACACTGAGGCTAATTTATTTTACATAATAGTCAACGTTCTATACATAAATGATGAGGGTAATTTACTCAAAATTTTAAAGTTTAGGTTCCAGGACGCTACTTGCGTAATAATTTAAGATCTATTGCACTAATAACTAGGGCCCATAGTGAATAGTAATGGCGTTAAAAAATAACAATAGTGTTTAATTTTCTAAGAATTTAAAAGTTTAAGATTTATTTTATACATTTTAAGACTTCATGATGTAGGGTGCTTTTCAAGTAAGAATTTAAAGCGTATTTTACTTATTAACCCAAGAAACACGAAGTAAGACCTTTTGACAGGGAAATTGAATGTTTTCTTTTAGGAGAGGGGGCAATTGAAATTTTGTGAGAGGAGAAATTGAAATATATATTTATAGTTATTATTATTATTACGTTGCCTAGGTCCTTCCTTGTTTCCTCATCATTGCTGCAAAATCGTCATAGTTGATCCTGCCATCTTGTCCACACACAATTTCCGAGTTAACTCCTTCGTTTATTGAATATACAATACATTAGCAGAGAAAATGACACAAGTAAAATTATGCCAAGTCTTTCGGGAAATTGGAGAAAAAGAACAAATGGATGAAAAATTTGGGAGGAACCACAATAGATATTGAAGGTCCTTAAAGGAGCATATATATGATAGATTCTTGAAGATTCCTTGAAGTAATATTTGCTTGCAACCAAAAGTCTTTGGGTGGGGTGGGCCTGCTTGTTAGCAAGACTCATTCTACCCTTAAGGGCCATTTAGTTGTTGGAAAAAAAAGGAAATTGATTGACTACAATGTATATAAAAAATAAAAACAAAAATAAAATTATCAAAATGTGGAAGGAAAATAAGTCAACTATAGAGAATAGTAATTTAATTCATAAAGCTTAGGAGTCATGATTTATGAGATTCATGAAAAGTATGATGATTTTTTACATTTGTGATATGTGCTATTAGATTTTGTTTTGTTTACTATATGAGGAAAGAAGGTGATTTAATTAGCTCATTTTTTTTTAAATTTTTAATCATTACATTCTCATTCTTTTCAACAATCAAAGGACTCCTTAATTAGAGGATTGTACACATGAATCAGACCAAACTCGGCTGGCCATTAGCAAGAGGCCTAGTTTGGTTTTGACACCAGGTAGGTTTCCTAGCCTGAATGAGAGGGTTGGAGTTTAAAAGCATGTATGGAATTGGATTTGACTTCTCTTTTTAAAAAACTACTATTTATTACTTCCTATATTTGAAATTTAGTCTACCGGCTTAACCCAACAAAGTGGGAGATGATTTGTCATTCTTCCCCTTTATTTAATCACTTTGATCTTTAGATATTAGAAAAAAAAAATTACTTTGATATTTTATTTTTATCGTTTGTTGGTTACATAATATGTAATTAACCTATTTAAATTTACAAATCTTGATATTGTACGAAGCAAGAAATGGTGGTATTTTGATCTTTATCAACTTTCTTAAGAAATTGATATGGTATTAATTTTTGTAATTATAAAAACTTTAATATTTTACTTTGAGGACTTACGTTATTTGCATCAACTTCTGATAATATCTCGTTGATGTCTCTACCATCATGCGTGTTATATTCTTTGAGACCATGTTCTAGTTCTTCAACGGTAATGAACCTGAAACATTATGTGTGTGTGTGTGTGTGGCAGTGGCATTATAAATGACATCAAATAAATGTCACCAATTAATATTAATAATATAATTCAGATTATGAATTTTAATTACCTGTTGTTGTCTTTATCAAAGTATTGGAAAGCAATATAAAGATGTTCTTCTTTGTCGATTCGATTCAAATTCAATGTTGCTGTGATAAACTCCTTATAATCTATGGTTCCATTGCCATCAGCGTCAGCCTGCAATAATTCATAGAAAGAAACATTGCCTGAGAAAGAAAATTATGCATATGTAATTAATTAAACGTCATATAGGAAGCTGCTTTATTTTCACTAAAAGCCTACTTTATCATTCATCAGGGTCAGAGCCAGTAATATTACACAGTATTTTCATTCATTCATTCATTTCTACTTTTTTTTTTTTGTTTGTGGTTGAATTCTAAGCTTGCATTGTGCGTCTGTTAAAAGTGGGTCAACATCCAAGGCAATAAAAGTCGCAAATTGCAATATCTTTGTTGGCGTGATTTTAGGTTTCGGGTGCAAAGCGTCATGCCCCTTAAATGATTGTTAGGCATGCCAGAAAATTTGGATCCTCAATGTGAGTTATGTATCAAATGATTGTGTGGGTTCACAAGGTTCTTTATCACACTTTCCTTAAAGTGTCAAAGTTGATTAAGAAACTAAGGATACGCTAGAGAATGTACGAAATCAGGTTGCATTACTGGAAGTAATTATAATGGGTGCTCCAATGATCAAAGGAAAAAGCAAAGTAAGTAGCCTTGGATGCCTGAACTATAATGATAAAAAAATCACATTAGGCAAGCTCGAAGTAATGCAAGGTTAGTCTAATCCAGAAAGAGAAGGGGAGAAGAAATGATCAGACCCACTTATCAAGCAGGCCTAACCACTCACTCCAGCTATCTACTTTCTTTGACTATCTATGCTAGGGATGTTCAATTTGTGCCCAACTCGATTGACCAAGTTTTGACTCAATCATATCAAAACAGGTCTTATCCTGGATTGAAAATAATTGAGACGATAGAGGAAAGATGTTTGAGACAGGACGGGATATGAGATTGCCTTCGGGATGCCCCGTTCCATCCCAAATATTATATATATATATATATATATTATTTTTTATTTTGAAAATACATATTAAATATATTAATTATATCAATTATAATTTTAACACGTGCAATTCTTATTTAAAACTAAAATTTTTTTATATTAATAATTTTAATGACACAGAGTAAGCAGTACATGATAATATCTTTCTTTATGATATATTAATTATTTTAATATAATTTATTCTTATATCTATTTATTTAATAACTTTTGTTTATATCGTACTTCTTGTTTTATTTTTAAAAGAGTAATGAGCTTAGCGTATCTCAACAAAAGGAGAACAACAATGTCTTGGTGTTATACCTGGTTTGTCTATTGTTATTGCTGTTATAGCCTAGAAATAACTTGTTATTGATATCATAATGTGTTCTACACTTGTAATTGTGATTAATATTTAATAATTGACTTTAAATTATTGTGATTTATATGCTTGTATTGTTTTAATTTTAAAGCTAATAAATTACATGATTTACAATTTCAATAAATGTTATTATTCAGACCTTACACATTGTTTAATTTATTGGGATGGTAAGATGTCCCGATCTCATCTAGTCTCGTTTTGATTCCTAATGAGACGGAATGACTTTCGAGATGTGATGGGATATGAGACAAAAATTCTATTTCAGTCTTTTTTTTGGGACAAGACATGAGATAGTGCCCCTGTCCTGTCTCATCTTGTGAATACCCCTAATCTATGCTATATCTTTTTTTTTTTTTCACGTAAGCTAGTACTCTAGGGTCTATGACCTTTCTAGTTAGGTTAGATCAATGTCTTTGCTAGTGAATTCAAATAAATATATACCATTTTTTTATTTTTTGATGTGTAATTAACCATTTTTTTAAATACCTTTAATAAATAAACCACTCAATCTTTCACTTTTGAGTGAAACAACCCTATATATTAAATGAGTGCAAACATGGAAAGAAGATGTCAATTAAAAAACAATTAATTAATTTATTGAGAGGTGTAATTTAGTAAAAAATGTCTTATATTTTTTAATAAAAGGAGTATAATTTATTAAAACCACTAATACTTCAATGATAATTGTAACATCCCAAATTTCTAATCCTGTGTTAGTGATTGATTAGGGATGAATTAGTGATTTAATGTAGGGATTAGAGTTTTGAGTCATGAAGTGATATATTGACTTATTGGGATGTTATATGAATAGATATGAGTAGAAGAACGAGGTCCTGAATCAGAGCGTGTGAGCATAGTGGGGATTTTCCTTACTGTGCCATGCACTGTGGTGGGTGATAGATGTGCCGTGGCATATAGAGTAGAAATCAGATTAATAAAACATGTCCAGCTCGTGGAAAACAAAAAGGAGAACCTGAGAGAAGAGATCAAGCGTGGAGAAGAACCAAGGGTGTGTTAGGGCAACCAAAATTAGGAGCAAGGACAGTGTTTTTGACTCGTTACTTATCAGGTAAGTCACGTACTGCCTTAACCTCTGAATCTGTCATACTTTCTCTTAGTTTTAACTAATGAGAAAGTGAATTCAGGAGTTTTAAGGAGTTGACTTTTTACCTAATAGTAATAAAAAGGTTCTTTGGAGTTAAACTAGTACTTTGTAACTGGTTTAAGTTGAAATGATAAAGTTTTGAAACTTTAAGCAAGAATTGCCCTAATATAGAAAAAGAGTAGTGAGAGAAAATTGCTAGAAATGTTAAAGCTTGAAATGAGGGGTGATCAGTCATAATGTGCATAATTGAGTGTGAAATGTGGATTTGATAGCAATTAAGTATTTAATTGCAATAATTGACACTTTTGGTCAATAGAGGAATTGACTCTGAATGTCAATTCTGTGTAGATTCTAGTGTGTGATGTACGAATTATGAGAGAAGAGCTTGAATAGGGTTGAAGTTATACCGGTAACCCTTTTTAACAAACACAAGGGTTGAGATAACCATATAGTTTATTATATTTATTAACTATTATAACTGTGTAGAAGTGAATGTCAAATGTTAAATTGTGAATTTATGAGTTTTAGCATGAACTTTGCATTGTGAAATGAATTTGAAAAGTTATTAATTTTAATGGATATAAATATATATAATGTGAAAGTATATATATATATATATTATGGATAGGTGTATAAGTAGTGAAAGTTGTAAAATAGCATGATTATAAGGGGTGGGAGTCCACCTAGGATATGTAGGGTTGTGTGTGTGTGGAGATTTGTTAGTGAAAAATTCATATGGTCAGGCTGGCACTATGGGACATTTGGTGTAGCATTTTACGGGCTATTACCATGGGTAATCCGATATAGCATATTATGAGACTATTACCATGGGACATCTGGGTAGTCTGGCAACTTCCCAATGCCCGTTAGGGTGTGGTTAGGAGTCAATGACACCTCTATCACAAGTGTGTGAAGAGGGAAACCATAGTCTGTAGGTGGGTTAGATTACTTTTAGCTGGGTGTTTCTACCACCAAAACTGAGCTTGGGTCAACAGGTAGTTGATCTAAAAGAACCTATAGTTTTGTGTTTGGGAGCTTTAGAGGATTGGTGGATAGTTAATCATGGTATGGTGTAAAAGTGTTTGAAATGTGATTTATATGCGAAAATGATAATTTAGTATTGATATGTTATATATATATATATGTGCTATGTGATATTTTCAGTTACTTTGGCATGGTTATGTGTGGTAATAGACATTTAATAAGCTATATTTGGTTATTGAGATTTTTATCTCACCCATAGTTATTTATATTTTTTAGGTTTTGGTACTAGTGGGTTAAAGGGAAAGGATATAGGCTGAGTTGACATCTCTTGTCTAAATCTTTGTAAGATATGGTGTAATGAATTTAGTTAATATTAGTCTTGTATATGTATAAGTTGTCATAGGATTTGTGCATGTGCATCAGATATGATTATGGTATGTTTTTGTGATTTTGAACTCTTTAGCTCTTGTATATGTGTGAATGATGAAATGGTTGAAAGGGCTAGTGGATAGATGCAATTATGTGTGTATTTGAGATGGGTGAAGGTCATTTGGAGTGTTTTGGCCATATATGAGATTAAAGAAATGAAATATGAATTTAGCCAAAAGGGAGAAATGGGCAATTTATAAGCCAAATTTATGTATGTGTGTTATATTATGTATGTGTATGGTCAATTAGGTATGTTTTGTCCATTTGGATTTGGTCAAGGCCTAAAAAGTGGCTAATGATAATTGGTTTTAAATTGAGACACTGAAGTGATAAAAATTTGACAGAAAATGGTCAAAGTGCACTTTAGTACCCAATTTTTGATAGAAATATCGAATTGGGATGAAACCAGTGTTATTAGTTAGATTTCAAACAAGATTCATGTGGGCGTTTGAACCATCCCAATCGTATTTGAATTTCATATCAAAAACTTCCATTTGATAGAAAATTCAGGTGTATACACCCCGATGCATGTACTTGCATGCCACAGTACACGGCACAGAGCGTGTGATTGTGGCCTCTGTGGCACATGCTGCGGCGCATGTGGCACAAGCCGCGGTGCACGGTGCAAATTTTCACTTTATTTTTAAGTGATGCACATGTTTTCTTGACATTTGATGCACTAAGTATAAATGCTTCCGTTGTGTATGTAATTGTGTATGGGGTGAAATAACCCATGTGATTATAAAATATTTTCTAGAAACCTTTTATTGAGATTCCAATGTTTTCAACAATTTCAACTCAAATATTCAAAGTAATTAGTGATTTTGTAGTGGAACATATGGTAATATTAGTGAGGGTATTACAACAATGCTAATTATTTATTATACCTTGAGAGAAACTTTCTTGAATTGATTCATGGCTCTGAATTGCTTGAGCGTATTTAGCACAGTGTATCTGGTGCATCTCCATCTTCTTTTATCCATGGATGATCTACATTTATTATTAATTACACTCAATATTGCTTTATTAACACACACAAAACATGAAGGAAGTTGAATTGAAGAAAGTGAAAGGGAGAAAAAAAGCATATATATGCCTACTCAAGACTTGATAGGCTATGAGCCTTTGCTTGGGATCTGAATTCAATATTTTGGTAAGAAAATCTTTTGCTAAATCAAATATGCTGGGCCATGGATCCCTTGAAAAGCCAACATGGCCACGTAGGATGGCATTGAATATTTCTTTTTTAGATTTTGCAATTCTCAATCATTATTCATTCAGACTTTCAATTTTTGAGACTTCAGTTTAAACTCTTCAAATAATAACAAACAAATTTAGTATATATGTTATTTTAAAAAAATAAAGTTCTCCCACATGAAGTGTTTAATTATTGGTCTTAATTAATTTCATTGACATCACAAGGCAATATATTAATTATTGTTTGTAACTTTATTTTTAAGATTCCATGTCATTTGGGTTTATCTTGTGTTATTTTTCTTTTAATCTTTTTTTTCAAACCAGACTTTGACTAATCCAAGTTAAGGTGGTTGGGTTAGATCACAAGAATGTTTGAAACCCAAGACTTGAAATCAAGATCGATGATCAAACTTTATATCGATTGAGCTATGCGCTCATTGGTTTTTTTCTTATTTATTTTTTATTATAGAGAGTTTTAAGATGAGGTGAATTTATTGAAAGAAATGTATTTTTGTGGCAAAATCTGAAGAGAACATGAAGGAAGATATATAAATAAATAAACCTGCTAAAATGGAGGAACACCACAAAGAAGGATGTAAAGAATGACACCAATGCTCTAAATGTTAGCTTCTGGCCTATATGCCTTCTTCAATACCTCTGGTGCTATGTAATATGCACTCCTAACAATGTCTTCAAACACATCTCCTAATAAATTAAATCACAAATATTCAAATTCTATTACAACATCATCAATTATGAAACATAAAAATCACTGCTATATTTACTAGTTGCAAACTAAATCATCTCGTACACTTTTCTATATGTAGCTTTTATGCAGCTTTTGTCATAACAATCCGAGCCATATTCATCTCTGGTGTAAAATGTTTATTTTGATTCATACAAGTTACACATGCAAGAATAGGGACTCATCACCAAGAAATGGGAGGAGAGGAGGAATGACAAGAGTAGTAAAAGAACACCACATATCCCAAATCAAAATCTCAATGTTCAAATTTATAGATAATTGTGCTTTTTAATTTTATATTAATCATTAAGTTAAACTTTATTCAAAATGAGACTTCTTATGTTAACTTAAATTTAGTAACATTTAGACAACCTAACAATCTCTCCCTCAAGTGAGAGTTCACAAGCTCCTCCACATTGACTTACATTCACAGACATTTGCATAGCCTAACAATATATTAGAAATAGCAAGATAATAAAATATTTTATTTTTTATGACGTTAAAAGCTTATATAAGTTCATCGAATAAGTACGTTAAGGGTTTTTGGTATAATGCCTAGCTATGATTATATATATATATATATAAAGCTTAAGCTTAAGTAAATGGTGAAAATTGCTAAGGACCTTGCTTGTAAAAAAGGATAAATCGAAATCGATGAGTTTAAGAGGAGAATTCTTGTCCTTATTAAGAAAGAGGAAATTCTCAAGCTTAACATCTCTATGTATGACACCTATGGAATGGCAAGTATGGACGATCTGAACTATAGTCCTTAACAACAATGCGGCAGCTCGCTCGAAGTAATACTGCTTGGCTGTGATCCGGTAGAAGAGCTCGCTACCGGTGCAGAGCTCCATGACAAGATGAATCACATGCTTGTACTTATATACACTTTTGAGCTCCACAATATTAGGCTGGCTAGCCAAATGGTGCATGATCTGAACCTCCCTACATATATCTTCTATATCCCCGTCGTTCACAAGCTTTCTCTTGACTATGGTCTTGCATGCAAATTGCTCCAATGTTGTTTTGTGCGTAATTAAATGTGTCACCCCGAATGGCCCTAGCTCCTTTACTTTTAGGCTATATGTGGTCGTTAGAACTTTCATGGGATCGCGGAAGATCTCGTCGGAGCCGGTAGCCACGTCATTGCTGGTGGTGGTAATGGTGGTGGGGATTTTGATGTGCAACTATGAGAATGGCAGAGATTGAGACGAGTATGAGATGGGAAGTAAAAGTAAAATATTAAAATGTGTATATTAAATTTTTAATATTACCTAAACTAAGGGTGTGTTTTCCCTCAACTTAATGCACGCCAATGAATTGGGGGGTTGAGAGGGAGAAAAGGGACAATTTCTTTATTTAGTTTATTATTATTTTCCTTTTAAGAAAAGGAATCATGAGGGAGGAAAGACATAAAATAAGTTAATCACTTAGGCTTATATTTTTTATATTAATCATTTTTAAGGATTATCTTTCACCAAAATAACTTAGGCTTGTATTTTTTTTAATTTCAAAAGTGTCATGTCTCTTCATGTTTTTTCTTGTCAGGGCTTGTATCTTTTTTTAGTTCAAGGGTTTTAGTGTATTACTTTGTAGTTTTTTGCTCTCTCTTTATTATTATATATCTTCTTTTTTCTTATTCATATTCAATTCTTTTTATTTTTTTATTTCCTTTCTTCAATTTTTCTGTCCAAATCAAATGGCTCTTAATATCATGCATGTCAAGTTTTTATATTAAATATGCTTATATTGTCTATTTCACAAAAATAATTTAAGTCATTTAGTTAGACATATCCTTAAGCTAATCCTAATCTAATTTCTAATTACTATATGTGGGATTTAATTCTTTCTCTAATAATGTGCCTTTTTTAGGTTAAAATAAATGAGTAATTGTGTTTGTGTGTGTGTGTGTGTGTGTGTGTCATGGCCATTATATCAATAAACATTTTTTTTGGTAAACTATCAAATAAATAGTACTACATAGGATTATTAACATATGCACAAAACAAAGAGTTGTGTGAATATTTAATGTCATAATTAGTGATCTTGTATCATTAAACCAAATTGATATAATCAAATGGATGAAAGAGAATATGAGGGGAGGATCTAAACCCATATATGCACATCAATCAATGAGTGAATAGAGGTAAGATTATAAGATTAAAAAGTATATATATATATATGTATAGTATAGAGTTCGTGCAAAATAACGGTTTGATTAAACGTGAACATAACCTATTGAATGAGTGTATTTGCGCCATTTCCTATATTCAAATCCCATTGGAAGAAATGGCTTAATTAATAGCTATATATGATATGTGAGTTTGTTCAATATATCTACATCTCTCATTATGCTATATTGTCGATCATGGCTGATGATGATAAGATTTCAAAAAAAAATAAAAGAGAAAATTGTTATAAAATCCCTCATTGGGAGGGAAATTATTTAAAGGAGCTAAAACTAATTTAAGGAGCAAATGTATACCAAACCTATCACCTTACACTACAAGTTTATTACCTTATATCTCAGGCCTATCACCTTACACCTTGTATACTAAATCTATCATTTTACACTTGAAACTTATTACCTTGCACACGATAAAGGTGAAAATTTCATGAAAATATAATCTATTATCTTGAAAATGATTGTCTACAAAAAATAATAACATGGACAATAGATTGTTCAAACTACAAGCATATAAATTACATTTCAGAGGCTAACATGCAAGGTTGGCTTAGAGTATAAGTTGATAAGCTTGGTGTGCAAGGTGATAAGTCTGGCATACATTTGATCCTTTAATTAATCTTGCTTCCTCTAAACAATTTCCCTCCTAATGAGGGATTTTATAGCAATTTTATTTTCTTTCTTTTTTGTTGGAAAAGAGAGGATTCCAATTGATACTGTCAAAAGAAGTCAACATTTCTTGTGAGAAATTCCAAAGGTTAATTAACCAAGCAAATATATATAAGTCTTTAATTTTGAGAAGAAAAAATAAACCTAGAGTGATAAATTAAAGAATAAATAAATACATAAGAAGTTACGCTTTTAATTTGTTTCCTCCATTAACGCAACAGTAGATAGAGAAAGGGGGAGAAAGAACAATTAAAGAAAAACCCAATAGAAACCTAGAAATTTTTTTTTACACTCATCTTCAAATTAGGGTTAGTATTTGTTTCTCCTCCTTGTTCTTGTTTTGAACCCTAACCAAATCCTTACTTATATCCTCTCGCAACTAACAGGTCATCTTCTTTCTTTCTTTGTCTCTTTCATACACCCACGAGCTTAATTCTCCTTCGATCGACGAAAACCAAAGGGCTGAGCTTGGATTATCCATGAATAATGATAATGCCTGCCTTTTAACTTTTGTTAGCATTGACTTCATTCTTTGAGTTGGTGCTTGCATTTCAAGATTATTATCATCAAACAAGTGGCTCTGGACGTCTCTTCCTAGTTTGGGCTTCTGGGTTTCCTTTCCTCATCATTGCTGCAAACTCATCATAGTTGATCCTACCATCCTGCCCATCAACAATTTCCTTTTTAATTACTCCTCCTTATATTCAATATATAATCATACACACACACATTCTTGCTGAAAATCACACTAGTCAAAATATTTTAGAGTCTCAGGAAAATTAGATATGTCAGGATCAAATTGGTGGGGAAGTACTACCAATAAGCAAAGTATGTTACAGATCTGCTTGTGAACTTTAAGAAATATCATTGATATATATGTTGAAATATTGAATAGTTAATAGAAGTTAATTGTTCATCATTAAGTTGGTTATGTATGCCTTAGCTTACCTAAAGGTGTAAGGGTTAGGTATTCAGTAGGAAGGTGGAATGCTCACCTTATGTGGTACTCACTTTAGTCTTTATTATAGGATATATTAGTAGAAAGATTCTTTGATATTAAGGCACTTGATAGGATATTAATTATATTTTCTAATACTACTTATGTTTAAATTCATTAGCTATGAGAGAATGTAATGTAAATTTAGATCTCTTATAAGAGTTTTGAAGTTAGTTGTGTAATCCTTTAAAGAAGGTTTTCCTCATTGTAATTTTCTATCATAATCATGAATTAAGTTTGTTCCTTTTCTTCTCCTTATTTAGTTTTGTATGAGTTAACAAAGCATATTCTTAAAAATCTCTTAAAGCGCTCGATTGCAAATTCTAGAAATTATAATATAATCAAATGTTATTAGTCCTTCCTCCCAAATTTTTCATCCATTTAGTCCTTACCCCCAAGTTTTCTTAGAGTACTTTTCACATACAACTAAAACTCATTAGGTCGGGTGGGCCAGTACTTGTTAGCGTATGACTTGTCCAAGCCTTATAGGGCTACACATAAATCAAACCAGACTAAATCAATCATTAACCTGATCAGCTTTGATTTGGTTATGACACCAAGCTGATTTTCTCAGCTCAACCAATAACAGGAATCACATTAAAAAATATGTATGCATGGAGTTGGATTCTACTTCTCTCCTTTGAAAAACTACTATATATATATATATATTGTCTTCATATACTTGAAATTTAGTATACTGGCCAGCTAATGAGAGCGGATTTGTTATTCTTCCTTTATTACTTTGATCTTTTATTAAATGTCATCATTGTTTGGTTACATGACATGTAACTTATTTTCTAATTATAAAGATTGATTGTGCTAAATAAGAAAATAAAAGTTGCCACTTTGATCTTTTTAAACCAAGATTTTTTTGGACCATAAAAGAAACCAAGATTAACTCCATTTGGTTTTGAGAACTTACATTATCTGTATCAACTTCTGATAATATTTCGTTGATGTCTCTACCATCATGAATGCTATATTCTCGAAGTGCTTGCTCTAGTTCTTCAATGGTAATGAACCTGAAACATTATATGTTATCTAGCATTATAAATGACACCTTATAAATAAATGAAACCTTAATTAGAATTCATAACTGATTCTAATTAATTAATTATTAATATAATTTAATTACCCGCTATTGTCTTTATCAAAGTATTGGAAAGCAGTATAAAGATGTTCTTCTTTGTTGATTCGATTCAAATGTAATGTTGCTGTGATAAACTCATCATAATCTATGGTTCCATTGCCATCAGCATCAGCCTGTAATATTTCATGCAAACAAACATTAATTGAGGTGTGGAAATTATGTATGTCTAATTAAATATCATTTAAAGAAGCTGTTGTATTTTTATGTATTCCTTTATTTATTTTTACTTTTTTGGTTGAATTGTTGTCTTGGGCTTTTTCTAGAATTTGGATAGCCAAGCCTAAAAGTTCAAAAAGGCCCATTATTTTTATAGTAATGACTAAACAGTCCAGTTAGAGAGAGACACACACATGAGAATAAGATCCACTTGTTGAGTAGCTTTCGTCAATACTTTTCTCTTTTCTCACTATATTGCACAATTATTATAAAACTTGCAATTCTTTTTCTTGTAGCTTCTAATAATTGCTTGAGATTTTAGCTAGAGAGAGAGAGAGAGAGAATGATAAGACCCACTCATCTAATCACTCTCTCTATCTCTTCTTTTGACTATACCATGTCATGATTAATTAAGGGCTTAAAGTGACTTACAGCTTCTAATAATTGCTTGACTTCTTGTTCACTGAGTTTTGTTCCCTGCTTTGCAAGGCCATGCTTAAGCTCTTCAATTGTTATGGTTCCACTATTGTCAGTGTCCATTCCCTTGAACATCTGCTTCAACCCCATGATTTCTTCCTCTGATAAGCACCCAGCAATTACCTATATGTTTTCAAATCTATGTGTTTTTGTAAACTATATATTTAAATCACAAACATGTAATTTCATGTATGGTTTATTGATCAAAGCATTAATAATTCAAAGACATACAATGCTAATTATTTATTATACCTTGAGAGCAACTTTCTTAAATTGATTCATTGCTCTAAACTGCTTCAGCCTATTCAGAACAGCATTATCAAGAGGTGTATCTGGTGCTTCTCCATCCTCCTTTATCCATGGATGATCTGTTTTTATTATATATATATATATGACAGTTAGTATTGCTTTTTTTAAAAAAATTGTGTATAAGTGTTTTCTTATATTGGAGACAATTATGTTCAAAGTATAT